TCTATTGCATACCTCAGAAAGAGACAAATGGTGGAATTGTTTTTTCAATGACAATGATAACCAGGTTTTACTGAAATATAGGAAAACATTGCATAGCTAAAAACAAAGGTGCTGATTGTGCATTAATAGGAAGACTTGGATAGTGAAGAATTGAAAATGTGCCAGTGACTGTTTTATTGGTTATGAAGAAAACTTATATACCATAAACAATGGAATGTGAAACATAACAGAATTCTCAGGGATTAGCTGCAGAAATTTAAGAAGCTTTGGGGTATAAAATATCTGGAAGTGCACGTTGAAAAAGCTTTGCTCATCAGAAGCTAGCTGGAAATCTTATTGATGAATTTGCTATGAACACATTCATGGAAAACCTTAGTCTTGAATAAATTTGCAGTGGTGATGAAATACTGTATATTGTTAACCACGTTTCTAGAAAATATTGATGCTGACTGTTGAAAAAGCAGCAACTACCTTTAAGGATGCTAACTGTAGGGTTATTGGATGTGCTATTGTTTGGAGATTAAATAGAGGATGGGGACAAAACCCACTTTATGAGAGTGGGTCTGTACCAAACATCTATTTGGTATAGAATCAGGTATTGTCAATTTCCTAGAAAATCCAGATGTCTTGGAAAAATAGCGCTGAATGATTAGCATTAGGCTTATGACAGTTGATTCATAGCAAGGGAAAGAAAATTGGAATGGCAAAGAAATATTTCATATGCCAAGTATCTCGCCTACATTGTCGTCAAACATAATTGCCTATCTGGTCACTGAACACAATTAAATTACTTTGAACAGAGTTATTTATACTGATGGTCTCTTGTTATAAATGGGTTTAATACAATCCATTAATATGTCTGGAACTCAACAAATATTTTAAAATAACTTTTATGTCAGTTTTGTTAAATTCGAAAATTTAAAGTGTAATAGATGTCCATTTACACAATTTAGAAATGTATAAAATAGAAAATAAGTATTAGAGATAATTACTCTTACAGCTTTCCACAACTTCCATAGTTCTCCCTCTGTTTATATCCACTTGTAAACACATGCCTACTACGCCAACAGGTAGATAGATTTATGTAGTTCATGTCATACAAACAACTTTATATCCTGCCTATCATTTTACAGGTACATAGTTATATCATTAAACTTCTTGCAACTGTGAAATTTAATGACTGCATACTGTTTTACCCTATGGTTCTTTAATTTGCTTCATTATTCCCTTGGGGGACATTTATGCTCATGTTGTTTATAATTTTTTGTTATAAATTATACTATTATGAAAGTCCTCTGTGTTTAACTTCTGTCTTCAGTCATATTATTTTCTCTCGCTAAACTCCCAGAAGGGTAATTGTCTTGTCAAAGGGCATGAAAAGTTTTAAGTCTCTTGATAACGTGGAATTGCTTTCCAGAAAGGTTACACCAATAACACTCTCTCCAGCAAATGCCTGCGTGTAACCATTCTCTTTGTTTGCATATTAGTCAGCAGGAACAATGAAAGACTCTTGACTTGTGTTTATGAGTAAAACTTAATGGAAGCCAACCATTATCCTACCATTATTTAGTAACATGTGTCTCTACGTGTTGGTTGAATTCCACTTCATGTTTTTCCTGTAAGAAACTGTGTAAGTACTGCATCTGGAGGTAATAGATGTATTTGATCATTTTGTGTGATTGTGACTGTGTTGCTAGCCATTGGCCCTTTTTGGTAAGCTGATTATGTTTTCGAGAAACTGTTAGTTCCGTGGAGTTCACACACGATTTAGTTATTCCTGTACAGACAAGAGTGAAGGAGGTTAAAAAGGACTGTTGAAACCTTTATCAAGCTCATCCTGACAACAAACATTTATTCAGTGTTTTGCCAGTTCCAGTTACCGTGCTAGATGTGTAGTGGCCCAAACAGAAGACAACCTAGGAATCTGAGTGCACTCCACCATCAGGTGACGGGTGCCTCAGTATCTTCTGAAATGTTATTTCTTAAAGCAGCCTTGTAGAGAAGTGGTCCTGACCACCGTGTCCCCCGTAGGACACCCCAGGCAGCGCCTCTACACTTAAGTACCTGATGTCCGAAGCTCTTCTGTCTGTGGCCACTGACAAGCACACTGAAAGTCGTCAGATGAACCAAAATATACTGATTTGGATTCTCAGTGCATTTAGTCCTTTCCTCTAGAACTTCAGCTTTTCTCTTACACACTGGACAAGCAGTTCAGTGCCACGTGACGAGGATCTAGTTCAATCCCTTCACCGTGAGACGGGGACCGTTTTCCCACTTTACAGATGAGGGCCAAAGAGGTCCATTAATGTGTCCAAGGATAACACATGGTGCCTGAGGCCGCATTAGGCTCAGATCCACAGCAGTGTCTCTGCACGCCTGGCCCAGTCCCCACCATGCTGGCTCCCTGCTCTTCTCACAGGGGCCTCAGGGGTCTCTCTTCTCCATTTGTGCTTCTGCTGTTCATGGCTCTGTCATCTACCTACGTCTGTGACCAGGAACATTTTATTGGTAGTATGGAAGAATTTTCACTGGGTTGGACTAAAATGGACTCAGAAGATTTTTTTCCGTGACGGACCACTAAGCATGTTAGGCTTTGTTGGCAGTATAATCTCTGTGGTGTCTACTTAATCCTGCCACTGTAGCAAAAACCAGAAATGCAGACAAATGTGCATTGCTGTGTTCCAACAAACTTTATTTCTAAACACGAACTTGCTACACTAGCCCCTTAGGTTTTGAGTCAAATATTTCTTTCATTTTTGCTATCCAATCTAACATTTTATTGATTTTATTTATTTATGTGTTCCTTCATGAATATGAGACTCCTTGGTGTGTAGTGTGGATTACTCAGATACAATAGAAGTTAAAGGAGGTGATTGGAGAGTTGTGGTTTGTGTCTTGTAGTCGGGTCTTTGATGAGAAGTACTTAGCTAGTCCGTGTTCTGAATTTTGGTGTTTACAATGGGTTTGGGCGAGTGAGGCTGACAACCTTTGATGCCTGGTGAACATTGGGACGGGACCTTGAGGGGGCAAGCACACTGTGACAGTGGTCCAGAGTCCTCACTGCCATCTGTGCATTCCTGCCCTCGGGTGTACGACTCGCTCAGCTAGCCCTAGGTCTGTGTCCCCCGTGAAATCTGTGACCTCGTGGTCAGTGCTCTGTCTTATGGCCGCCTGGTGCCCTTTCTCCAATGAATTCTGGCTTGTGTCTGGCTTATTCTGATTGTATAGTAGCAGTTTCCCTTTCCACAACACAAAGATGTAATTGATGGGATGCTACCTTGGTGTGGAGTTTCAGTGATGTGACCAGATGGGAGAATAAGGAAGATTTAAATTTGTACAACTAGTTTCAGCTGTCCACTGGTATAGTCTGTCACTTTGTGTAAATACTTCTGTTATTTTTCCATTTTAATTCTTTAAAATGTTGGCAATAACCACCACCTAAAGTGGTATATTTTATGCAGATCATTAAAAACAAAAACGGTTGTTGATGTCACTTTAAGATCCAGTGAAATCATTCAGAAGTTTGCTGCATCAGAGGTGGGCAGAACTTTGTATTCACCAGGACAAAAGCCCGAGACAGGGATTTCTGGGTCTGCGTGTTGTCCTTTACTCAGGTCCTGGTCATAGTTGGTCCTTCCAAAGTTTTTGGTTCTAGGATATCTAGATGCTATCGGGGCCGGCGCCACGGCTAATCCTCCGCCTTGCGGCGCCGGCACACTGGGTTCTTGTCCTTGTCGGGGTGCCGGATTCTGTCCCAGTTGCCCCTCTTCCAGGCCAGCTCTCTGCTGTGGCCCGGGAGTGCAGTGGAGGATGGCCCAAGTGCTTGGGCCCTGCACCCCATGGCAGACCAGGAGAAGCACCTGGCTCCTGGCTTCGGATCAGCGCGGTGCGCCGGCTGCAGCGGCCATTGGAGGGTGAACCAACGGCAAAGGAAGACCTTTTTCTCTGTCTCTCTCTCTCACTGTCCACTCTGCCTGTCAAAAAATAAAATAAAACAAGAAAATAGATGCTATCGCATTTAAAGTCTTGTCCCAGCTGTGCAGTTTGGAATATAATAATGTGCTAAAGATAATTTTCTACAAAGCCAAGAATGTAAATGACGGGAGGGACATCTAGAGGTTAGGGATCTGTAAGTGACGTTTAAGACCTCATGTGGTGGGAGCTGGCATTGTGGTGTAGTGGGTCATGCTGCCACCTCTGATGCGGGCATCCCGTATGGGTGTCGCTTCAAGTCCCGGCTGCTCCCCTTCCTATCCAGCTCCCTCCCTCCCTGCTGATGGCCTGAGAAAAGCAGTAGAGGATGGCCCAAGTGCTTAGGCCCCTGTCCTTGTGTGGGAGACCTGGGTAAAGCGTCTGGCTCCTGGCTTCTGCCTGGGGCAGCCCCCAGATGTTGCAGCCATCTAGGGAGTAAACCAGCAATGGAAGATCTCTCTCTGTCTCCCCTTCTCTCCGTAACGCTTTCAAAAATAAATAAATAAACCTTAAAAAAAGAAAAAAAAGACTTGGTGTAGTAAACCTTAAGCCTCTGCCTTAGTCTGTTTTTGTTGCTGTAACAGAATACTGCAAGCATGGGCAATTTATGAAGGAAATAAATGTGTTTCTCAGGGTCGTGGGGGCTGGGGGTCCAAGGTCAAGTTCCGGCCTTCCTTTGGTGTCATCCTGTGCTGGAAGACAGAGAGGATGGGGTCTGAGATAATCCATTAACGTGAGCCCCCTCCCACAGGAGCAAACCTGCTCCCCGAGTCATGGCAGAAGTCACGTCTCCAAGGTCAAGCGCTTAGTGGTGTCATGATGACAATTAAATTTCAACATGAGTCTTGGCAGACATGTTCAAAGCGGAGCAGGCCCTGTCAGCAGTTGCTTAATTGGATCTTCCAGCTGTGCTGAGGCGGTGGTGCTGGGGAGCCTGTGTGTCAGGACAGGGAGGGGCTGGTGGCAGGCAGGGAGGACTCGCTTGATTGGCAGAGACTTGACTTGTGCTCCACGTGTGCCCTTTCCAGAACCTGAGAAGCAGTTTCTGCAATGGCTTGCCCAGTTTTCGGGAGAGTTGCACACGCACGTGCCTATGTGGTGAGAAAGGCCAGTCACTTCTGCAGTGTCCCTCAGCATCGGGCCTGGGGTTCAAGGCCTGCGACATCGGGATTTGCTGCCCAAGGAACGCGAGGCTCCAGCGTGGTCGAGCTGCTTGGGAAATCCTACCCTCAGGATGACCACAGCAACCTCACCCGGAAGGTCCTCTCCAAGGTGGGCAGGAACCTACACAACCAGCTGCATCACCCTCTGTGGCTGATCAAGGAGAGGGTGAAGGAACACCTGTACCAGCAGTACGTGGGGCGCTCTGGGTCCCCGCTGTTCTCCGTCCATGACAACCTGTCCCCCGTGGTCACTACCTGGCAGAACTTTGACAGCCTGCTCATCCCAGCCGACCACCCCAGCAGGAAGAAGGGGGACAACTACTACCTGAACCGGACTCACATGCTGCGAGCACACACGTCGGCACACCAGTGGGACCTGCTGCACGCGGGCCTGGACGCCTTCGTGGTGGTGGGCGACGTGTACCGGCGCGACCAGATCGATGCGCAGCACTACCCGGTTTTCCACCAGCTGGAGGCTGTCCGGCTCTTCTCCAAGCACGAGGTGAGTGTGCACACCTCTCTCGCTGTCGCAGGCCAGCAGGGCCAGTTCGTGCTGAGGTCCCTGAAGGTTATCTCAGGAAACCAGGACAGCGGTCCCTGGTCCCCTTTGCATTAGTGACCCAGCTCTCGCTCTCTCTCTCTCTCTCTCTCTCTTTTTTTTTTTTTTTTTTGACAGGCAGAGTTAGACAGTGAGAGAGAGACAGAGAGAAAGGTCTTCCTTCTGTTGGTTCACCCCCCAAATGGCCGCTGCGGCTGGTGCACTGCGCTGATCCGAAACCAGGAGCCAGGTGCTTCCTCCTGGAAGGGGGCCAAGCGCTTGGGCCATCCTCCACTGCCCTCCCGGGCCACACCAGAGAGCTGGACTGGAAGAGGAGCAACCGGGACAGAATCTGGCGCCCCAACCGGGACTAGAACCCGGGGTGCTGGGGCTGCAGGTGGAGGATTAACCAAGTGAGCCGCGGTGCTGGCCGCCCCAGCTCTCTAATGCCAGCCTTTGTGCAGGCCCCACTACCCTGGTTTTGGACTGATTTGCTGTGCTGGTAATTGCAGAAATCCGTAAGCCTTCGTCTTCGCTGTCTTTCCCTGTCCATGCCATCCATGCCCAGCGACCGTTCTCTGCTTCACTGTTTCCGTCTGTATAGTCACTGGCTCGGTTTCACCCTTGGTCTGACCCTGAAGCCTGTACTCAGGTCCTTCCACTTGTCGGCTGGTAGAAGTTAGCTGTGTTTCAATGTGTTAGAGGCGCATGCATTTCTTACAGACTCGAGGGTGTGAGCAGTGTATGTCTTGGGCTGTAAACTTTGTTCTTGTCCCAGTACACTCTCTCTGTACCCGTCCTGCATCGCACGGTGGCATGGAATGTCGCAGTCGTTGCTCTTCCTCAAGTATGTGTTTGGCTGCATTGAACCGTGGATCGGGAAGACAGATTCTGGACATTCTCGAAGTAACTAATTCTTCACATCTGTTATCATAACACGTTGGGTGTGTAATTTTCCCCATCAAATTATGAAAATTCCTAAAAGCTTAAGTTCACTTGCTGTATCACTTGTCCTTCATTCGTGTGTCTTAAAAAGTGTGTTTTCTTATTTGGTTGGAGGCAGAGCTCCCATCCGCCAGTTCGCTCCCCAGATGCCTCAGTAACCTGGCTGGACCGAGTGGGGAATGAGGTCAGGTCTCCCATGGGGTGGCAGGGACCCAACCCTTTGAGCCAGCTGGCAAGAGACTGCAGCCGGAGCTGGAGCCAGTTATCCTACCGTGCAGTCTGATGCGTGATGGAGGCTTCTCAGCTGCTGGGCCAAATGCCTGCTCCTTGTTTTCAGACAGCCTCCATTCTGGTGTAAGGAGCTAATGGAATCGCACTCGGCACTGAAAGCCTTTCACTTTACTTCTGTAGCATCACTGCTTCCAGACATGCGCCTTGGAACAGGGGAATTACTGTCATCCCAAAGTGCTGTCCTGCAGGCACAAGATAAATGGGCAGTGGAAGGAGTGTGGGGTCCTGAGACTAATAAATAACTTATTGTTTTGTGTGTTAAATGCTTTGGTTTTAGGTAGCAGGAGACAACTGAACGGGTCTGTCCTCTCCTTCTGTTTGCCTCAGGATGTGCTGTTATCCTGTGAATCTGGTAATGCAGCAGTAGGTTAGCCTTACACAAAAGGCCATCAAGGCTGCGTCTCAGGGGAGCTGAGAACTGCAGGAACAGTAGCTATTAATAAGGACACCACATATTAGGGAAATAAAGGGAAATGAACAACGATGGCTCAAAGTCTGGGAATATGAGCACGCGGTAGAATGCCACTTACCTTAATGTGCAGGAACAAAGCTGTGATGCCAGCAGTGTGATTCCAGGGCACAGCCCTGGACAGGGGCCCAGCCCAGCCTCGCTCGTTAAAGAAATGCTAAAGGCAAAGCGTGCAGATGAGCTAGCCCGCGCGCCCTGGAGGGGCAGTGACCAGTGCAAGACCAGGGCAGCATTTCATGGAGGGGAAATGCAGGCTGCCGAAGGAGGTGGAGAACTAGAAGTGGGTGGGGAAACCGGCCCTTGTCTTGTTTCCTGTGCTTTGGGCCCATCTCGTTCAGCAAGTACCGTGCATGGCCCATCTGGCGATGTTGCTCTGAGTTTTGGTGTGCACATACACACACACATATGAATCTGATCTCCTTACAGTTTGATAAGGCGCTTCTGTATTCATTAGCGTAAACATTGTGAGTTAGGTTATTTCCACTTCAACACGAGACAGTCTGAAGGCTGGAAGGGTTTAGTGACTTGCCCTAGGTTGCGGCCAAGCCAGAGCTAAAACTGAAAGTCAGGTTTTCTGAGAACTGCCCATTCTACTTATTCTAATGATTCCATGGAAGTGCTGTGTAGTGGGACCTGCCTGTGACACAAGGGAGCCTTTGTTCCAGAAAGTACGTGGTGGGAGGGGCTGGGGAGACAGAGTGGTCTCTGAATCTCTGCTCTCTATTAAAGTATTAGTACTAAGGCTGACCTGATATTCACTCTCAATATTTTTAAAAAGATTTATTTATTTATTTGAAAGTCAGAGTTACACAGAGAGAGAAGGAGAGTCAGAGACAGGTCTTCCATTCTGTGATTCACTCCCCCACTGCCTGCAACAGCCGGAGCTGTGCCGATCGAAGCCGGGAGCCAAACGCTCCCCCTAGGTCTCCCATGTGGGTGCAGGGGCCCAAGCACTTTGGACATCTTCTGCTTTCCCAGGCACATTAGTGAGGAGCTGGATCAGAAGTAGAGCAGCCGGAACGCAAACCGGCAACCATATGGGATGCCGGCACTGCAGGTGGCAGCTTTACCCGCTATGCCACAGCACCGGCCCTGGTGATAGTATTTTAAAGCTAAGCTAGTATCTGGCAAAATGAAACATTGCCAACCTTATCTTAATCCCTAGTATTTTTTGTAGTGTTAATCAGTGTTTGAAAGAAAAAAACTTTAAGTCTTTAAGTCTTTTTTTTTTTAAAGATTTATTTATTTGAAAGTCAGAGTTATATAGAGAGAGGAGAGGCACAGATAGAAAGAGAGAGAGAGGCAAAGAGAGAGAGAGGTCTTCCATCCGATGGTTCACTCCCCAATTTGCCGCAACGGCCAGAGCTGTGCTGATCCGAAGCCAGGAGCCAGGAGCCTCTTCCGGATCTCCCACATGCGTGCAGGGGCCCAAGGACTTGAGCCATCTTCTGCTGCTCTCCCAGGTGATAGCAGAGAGCTGGATTGGAAGTGGAGCAGCCGGTTTCAAACCGGTGCCCATATGGGATGCTGGCACTTCAGGCCAGGGTGTTAACCTGCTGCACCACAGGGCTGGCCCCAAAACTTTAAGTCTTAAGAAATGAAGACATAGTTATGGGGAGGTTACTGATATTATATAGTTAACATATAATTCATGAATATTCACAGAGAAACAAAAAGAAATGTGTTTCTAGGAGACTTGAGCCAAGGTACTCAGAGAAGTCAACTTTTGAAAGAATTTCAGCACAACCCCCGACTGGTATGGTCCTTCATCAAGACATGTGCGAGTTCACACAGTCCCCCGACCCCAGCCCGCGGTTTGCTGGGTGATGGGCATGGTCACGGGCGCTGCTGCTGCTGGGGGCGTGTGCTCAAGGCGCTCTTCCACAGGCTGGCTCCACCCCTGCGATGCTTCCACCCTGGTGGCGCGAGCAGCCCTTGTTTTGCACAATCCCTTTGGCATCCTTTGTGGTTCATCCTTGTCAGGAAACCAGTCTCATTTATCATCAGAAGATCCCCCTCTTGCTGCCTCTGGTATTCTTCCCCCGTTCCAGATGGTCCGTTGGAGCCCTCCTGCTCTGGGCCTCTTTCCGAGCCTCCCCGCTGTTGCTCTTGCAGTGAGCCCAAGGTAGCGTCTTTATTCCTGCTTTCTGCCCCGAATCGCTATTCTGTCTCTCCGTGCCTGGCAGGCTTTTATTCCCTACCGTGTGGCTATTGGGTTTGCTTAATAGCCTCCTGTGGAGGGGCTTTGGCGAAGGTTTTTTATTTGGCCTGGATAGATTATAGTCACCATGTTTCCCTAATCTCTTCATTAAAATCGTTTAGGCAGGACCGCCCCAGCAAAGACACACTCAAGTTGAAGCCGCTTTTCTTTTAAAGCATGTTTTTTCTTTGTCCAAATGTTTGTTTAGTTATATCTCTTGATGGTGAAGGGAAAGGCAAGTGGTCCCAGCCAGGAGCCCACAGTCTGTTGGATTTGAGTAATCCCCCATTATGGTCAGACACAGGGGTGTTTTCAGGCCCATTTGAAGAGAGTCCCTGTTTTCTGTGGCACAGAGCGTTTGCTGAGAGTTCTTGCTTATGGCAAGATAGAAACTATTAGCCTCCTGGCTTGGAGTCCGTCTCTGCCCTATTTAAGCATTATTGCCTGTGGTCCTGTTGGGCTTTCAGTGCCTCACTGCGCTCACTGTACCCAACTGGTCAATCAGCTGCCTGAGGACCACTATCTATATTCACTTTTTAAGATTTATTTATTCATTTATTTGAAAGAATCCTAGGGAGGGAGGGAGGCAAGAGAAGCGGGGGAGGAGGAGAAGGAGAGAGAGAGAGAAACACCCACAATAGCCCTGGCTAGGCCAAGTGGAAGCCAGGAGCCCGAAACTCCATCTGGTCATTCCATGTGGGTAACAGGAGCCCAGATGTGTGGGCTGCTAATCTGCAGCCTTGAGGGTGCCTTAGCAGGGAGCTGGTCAGAAGCGGAGGAGCTAGGACTGGAACCAGCGCTCTGATAGGAGACGCCGGCGTCCCAGGTAGTGGCTTGACCCATTGAGCCACAGGGCCAACCCCATTCCTGCGCTCTGTCTTCTTTTGGCCTCTGTCTAACGCAGGAACACGCCCAGAGTAGCAGTCAGTACACGTGGTACTCAGATGTCTCCCTCATGGTGGACTCCCGACTCGTGCCCTGCAATACTGGTGAAGAACAGCATCTCGCGTGGCGGTTCCCTTGTCTCCTTTCCTGGCAGGCACCCTGGGAGCTCCTTTC